CCTCCTCCTCCTCCTCCTCCTCCCCCACCTCCTCCGTGTAGAAGCCGTGCGGGCTCTCAACAAAGTCCCAGTCGCCTTCGCGAAACCCCGCCGCCCTCTTATAAACCTGCCCCCCGTCGCGCCACGCCCTTGTCTGAACCGCCAGTCGAGGATCCGCCTCCCTCGAGGGTCCCTCTCCTCTCCGCTGGGTGGTTTTTGGATCCTCACTCGGGCCTCAGCCGGCTGCTCGGGACGATCTTGGCACCCCCGAAGAGCTGGCGACGAGGCGAAGCTGCTGGACAGCATCCCCAGTCGAGAGCTGCCCAGGAGCCCACCAACAACTTGTTTCCGACCTGTATCCCAAGTGGCGTGGGCCCCTTCTTTGGAGGCCTCCCAGATGATGTCCGAGTAGATGGGGTCGGGGGATCGCACCGCATCGCCGATGCATCGCCGATGCATCGGCAATGTATCGACGTTGCATCGGCGACGTCGGCAGTGCATCTGCGACGTTGGCGGTGGAGAAAAGCGGGATCCACAGCGAGCCGTAGCAACGATGCATCGGCGATGCGGCGACATCCTCCGACAACGTCTACTCGGACCCCACTCGGGAGGCCCAGTCTCCTAGAACCACCGATCGAGGATCCCCGCACTTCTCTCGGGCGCACGCTAGCATGGATTAGAGATCTGCGGATCTGAAGCGCGGTCGCCAGATTCATGGATCGGGACAGGTGTCCCCGAGAAATGGCGCCAGTGCCGCCCGATCTGGTAGCAGAGCGCGCCGATTCTGCATGAAAACGAAGCCCACCGCTGATCCACGTTGCCTTCATTCCGTGCTAAGGTTCCCTTGACCCGCTTCTCCCGCCTGGGCAGCGGGGCAACGTTGGGGTGGGACTGGCATGAGTACGGGGGGGGAATATCAACCTGGCGTCGGCGATACACCGCCGATCGATCGGCGATAGGCCTCCAGCGGTAATTCCCCACGCTCCTGGGCGGGGTGGGGCCATCGGGCCCCTCTCGGCGATGCATCCACCCCTATGCACATTCCCCCCAGCATCGTTGCTCCTGACGATCGGAGATCCCTGGGGAAACCAAAAGGTACCGGTACCGCTACTCTCCGGACCTCTCCCGGGGTGTGTTCTGACCAGAATTTCGAGGCGAATCCAGCGGTGGCGACGAGGCCTCCCAGGAGGCCCAAAAAGAGGAAAACAAGCGATGGGTAGAAGTATGGGTACCCTTTTCCTCCTCGGATCTATTCCCCCCAAATGCTGGACCCATTCCCTTGGACGGGCTTTCCAACCTGAGTCGTTTTCTTGACGGTCCCTAAGCCGGGTCAGGGCGCCCAGAGGCCGAAAATAGCGAAACACTTCCCGTCGTATTTTTTTCATGACTCGAGGTGGTCTGGGATCCTTGCCCCTGACGATCGAGGATCCCGCCCCCATTATCCGGCGTGTTGAGCAGTGACCGACCATCCCAGCAATCCTAGGTCTACCACGACATGATCTTCGAATCCAAGAATTTCAGAATAACAAAAACCATGCTCTTAGAACACAAACCCGATGTGCTAAAACACGACAGTCCCGGCCAGAAATACTCTAAGAACACTCCGTGCAGACCACAAAAGGTTCTCAGAACATGACTTGGTAGGCTTTTGGCAAGCTGGGACGCTTCGGCACTGCTTGGAGACCCTTTTTTTCGAATCGGCGATTACCCGGGTTATCCCTGGGGGGGAAGGGGGCGGGCCCATAACCTAACCCTCGCGCTGCGGGGCAGCCCTGCATATGCACGCGCCTGCCCCCCCCCCGCGGACCTGCACAACCAGCAAACTTAGGTTATCCTGGGGCGGGGGAAGGGGGGCACGCCCGATAACCCGGGTTATCGCCCGACCCTAAAAAAACAGTGTCCTCCCTCCTCCCTCCTCCCTCCACCAACACAAGACGAGGAAAGCTTGGGGAACCCGAAGGTCAGACACAAGGCCCAGGTAGAGCAGGGCCCCAGGAAAACCACGGCTCCAGAGGATCCTGGGCCAGGAAAGCAACAGAAAAGCAAAGGAGGCGTAAGCTTCGGGTGGGAGGAGGAGGGAGGAGAAGAAGGAGGAGGAGGAGGAGGAGGAGGAGGAGGAGGAGGAGGGAGGAGGAGGGAGGAGGGAGGAGGAGGAGGAGGAGGAGGGAGGAGTAGAGGGAGGAGGAGGAAGAGGAGGGAGGAGGGAGGAGGAGCTTGGGCAGCGGGGCGCGCCAGCTCTCGGCGTCCCCCTCGTCCGGGCCCAGGGCCGGCCGCCCGGCGGCCGCCGGCTCCGCGCGGGGGTCCTGCGAGAGGGGGTGGGGGGGGCAGCTCGCGCAGGCGGCCGCTCGTGGAAGGCGGAGGCGGAGGAGGAGGGGGGGGAGAGGAGGGGGAGGAGGAGGGGAGGAGCAGGAATAGGGAGGAGGAGGAGGAGGAGGAGGAGGAGGAGGAGGAGGAGGAGGAGGAGGAGGAGAGGAGGAGGAGGGGGAGGGGGAGGAGGAGAAGGAAGAAAAGCATGAATAGGGAGGAGAAAGAGGAGGAAGAGGAGGAAGAGGAGGAGGAGCAGGAAAACGAGGAGCAGGAACAGGGAGGAGAAGAGAAACAGGAATAGGGAGGAGTAGAAGGAGAAGGAGGAGGAGGAGGAGGAGGAGGAGGAGGACGAGGAGCTCCTCCCGCTCGTGGGCGCTCCTCCTCGTCATCGCTCCTCCTGCTGCAGCCTGGCGGCGCGGAGGCAAGGAGGGCAAGGACGGCCATGGGGTTCGTCGAACACTGCCGCGTCCCGGCGGGGCTCCTCCAACTCCTCCTCCTCCTCCTCCTCCCTCCGCCTGCTGCCTCTCCTCTTCTGGTGCCCCTCCTCCTCCTCTCCTCCTCCTCCTCTCTCCACCTCCTCCTCCTCCTCTCCATGATCATCCTGCTTCCCCCTCCTCCTTCTCCTCCTCCTCCTCCTCCTCGAAATGTTTGACTTTGCCCAGGCATGGATCGGCGATCGTTGCGTTGTTCCTTCTCATCCTCCTCATCCTCCTTCTCCTCCTCACCCTCCTGACGTTTGGCAAACATTGAGCGAAGCTCGTAGCGTCGTTCCTCTTCCTCCTCCCCCTCCTCGTGGTGCTCCTCCTCCTCCTCCTCCTCCTCCTCCTCCTCCTCCTCCTCCTCCCCTTCCTCCTCGTAGTGCTCCGCCTCCTCCTCCTGCTCTCACATGATGGTGCGCTCCCCCCTGCTGCCACATCGCTCTTCCTTAGAATGGCTCTCTCCGATCGCGCCGCCAGACATGTCCGTAAGCCAGGCTGGGCGTTTCGCAAAATACCACGACAACCTGCTATCCTGAGGCCCAAACGGCTCCAACAGCTACACACTGAGGATGTAGGCCTGGTCGATCTCAGCATGCGGCTCTCGCCTCATTGCATCGCACATTGGTCTTACAAGTCCACAGCAGCTACAATACTGGAGGGCCAGTTGCATTCAAAATGCGGCTCTAACCCCAGCGCCACGCGCATCATTTCCGAACACTTCGAGCACCTAAAAGAATATAGACCGCCTCGTTTTCTAAATGCGGGTTTCCTCGCTTGAGGCAGCCTGACATTTTACACACACACACACACGAGGGATCCAACTCATGCGGATGAAGGGCGACTCATTCTCAGACTAGGGCTTGCGCACGAAACGTGAGCAGATTCTACGGCCCGAATTGTGAAACTGCACAACTGGCACCGCTGATAGGGGGGCAGACCCTCTTCCAGACGGAGACGTCGCTGGACTCCTGCTCGACACATTCGTATGTCACCTCTTTGCGCGCGCTTCTGAAGGGGCCCTGGGACACACAAATAAATAGACACACAAACAACAGGCTTCCCACATTCTCCCATATGTTCAGGATTGTTGTCTTCCCTCCCACTTCCCATATTTTCCCATATTTTTTATGGGGAATCGGCGATTCATTGTGTCTGTGTGTTTTTGTCCCCTCCTGAGCTCCTCTCAGCTAGACACAAAACAACAAAGGGAGCCGAACTGTATACACCGCAGCTTTGTCCGGCTCCGCACCGAAATTCGCACAGGAAAAGCGGATCCTGGTGTATACAATTATCCCAGTGCGACCCTACCTAGGAGTTGGAGCCCCTAGGAAAGCAGCATTAGTAGTAACAGTAAGGCTAAGCTAAAGCTAAGCTGCAGCTAAGCTACAGCTACGCTAAAGCTAAGCTAAAGCTAAGCTAAAGCTAAGCTAAAGCTAAGCTAAAGCTAAACTAAATCTAAGCTAGAGCTAAGCTAACGCTGAGCTAAATATAAGCTAAACATAAGCTACAGCTAAGCTAAATATAAGCTTAAGCTGAGCTAAAGCTAAAGCTACAGCTAAGCTAAAGCTGAGCTAAAGCTAAGCTAACGCTAAGCTAACGCTAAGCTGAAGCTAAGCTAAAGCTAAGCCAACGCTAAACTACAGCTAAGCTAAAGCTAGCTGAAGCTAAGCTGAAGCTAAGCTAAAGCTAAACTGAAGCTAAGCTAAAGCTAAGCTAAATGTAAAGCTAAGCTAAAGCTAAACTAAAGCTAAGCTAAAGCTAAACTACAGCTAAGCTAAAGCTAAGCTAACGCTAAGCTAAAGCTAAGCTAAAGCTAAAGCTATAGCTAAAAGCTAAAGCTAAAGCTCCCAGGGGACTGGGGGAACCGCGGGGCGGGGACTGGGGGAACCGCCCGGGGCGTGTAGCACTGCCCGGCCCCTTTAAGCTAACAGAGTAAGAACCCTTCTAGGCAGAGCCTAGGTAGGGAATAAAAAGATGCTCCCACATGGCCAACAATAGTCAACAAAAACGTCCCCAGACTATTCTTTGACTATTTCTGAATATTCCTCCTGTAGAGGGACACGGCCGACTTAATCTTACGTTCCCCCGATCCCAAAGGGTTATCCTGGGGGGGGTAGGGAGGAGGGGGCAGGCCGATAACCTACCCCCCGCGCCGTGGGCAGCCCTGCACATGCCCGCGCTCCCCCTCCCGAGGACCTGCACAACCGGCAAGGTTTGGATATCCTGGGGGGGGGGCAAGCCCGATAACCCGGGTTATCGCCCGACCCCACAGGCGGATTCTAGACGACAAATTGAAAATACAAATTGAAAATACAAATCGAATACTTACAAAAATTGTCCCCAGACTATTCCTTGACTGTTCTGAAAATTCCCCCTGTAGAGGGACAGGCCCGATTTAACCCGAGGGCCGGCAGAAACTCGCATCTTACGCTCACCCGATCCCGCGGGCGCGACGGGGATTCAGGACGAAACAATACTCTTCCAAATGGTCAAAAAATCAGAAAGCAAAAGAAAAAAAGCGTCCCCAGACTATCCTTTTTACTATGTTTCTGAAAACCCCTCCTGTAGAGGGACACGCCCGACTTAATCTTACGCTCCCCCCATCCCCGAGGGCGAGGGGGGCGCGCGAGGGCGGCGTCCCGCGAGCGCTCCGCTCGCGCCTCCGCCTCGAGGCCACTTCGCCGGCTCGCCTCGGCCTCGCACGGGCGCGTGCCGCCGCGGCCCGCCGCCCGAACGCCGCCCTGCGACGTCGCGCCGCCGTCGTCCTCGCCTCGCCCTCGCCTGAAGGGGCCCTGGGACACAAATACATGCACACAAACAGCAGGACTCCCCGTATTTGCCTGTGTTCTGGGCTTTCGCCTTCCCCCCCACTTCTCATAGTTTCCCATATTTTCTCGGGAATCGACGATCAATTGTGTCTGTGTGCTTTTTTTGTTCCCGCCTGATCGTCCTCCTCGCCATCGTCCTCGCCGTCGCCGCCAACGTCGCCGTCGTCGATGCTCGGCGCTGTCACCGTCGTCCTCGTCGCCATCGTCCTCGCCGTCGACGTCGTCCTCGCCGTCGCACTCCCCGCCGTCGTCTTCGCCTCGCCCTCGCCATCGTCGCCATCGCCCCCGCCGTCCCCAGATCCCCGGCGATGTTATCGCCGGGGATTTGGGGACGGATGTCAGCATCAGGGATTAGTTATCGGGCCCGTTAAATATGGATCCGTGCCGCATACCTACTCCTGCGGAAGGGGTCGGGAGATCTTGGGCCGCACATTGAAGCAAATACATCGTCGGATGACTTGGTCGGCGCCGTTGTCGCCGCCCTCGACGGTCGTCGTTGCCGCAGCCGTCATCGTCGCCGGCGTCCTCATCGTCGAGGTCGCAATCCTCGCCGTCGCCGTCGTCGTCGTACTCGCCTTCGACGCCGAGGGGACGCCGTCGTCGTCGTCACAATCATCGCAATTTTCCCTCATCCCCTACACACTGCACGCCAACAAAAATACCCAACTAAGAATCGCATCGACACGCCACTCGAACCTCACAGATCGTCGCCATGCAGATGACCCGCAAACGCACGCTCTCCACCCCAGACAGACAGGCCATCATGCCGAGGCAGAGCAGCGGGAGAACGCTCCTTGTACATCCACGGCTCGAGCATGTCGTCCTGCTCCTCAGGCTTCCGCGTATTGCAAGCTGGCCCCCTCTCCGGCCTTGTGCGCTGCGAGCTGAGCATGCCTGCACCTTGTGGGCGCGTCCTTGATGCGCGCACGCCGCATCCCGCGCGAGGCACACAGAGTCGAGCACGGGCGCCAAAAGGGATGAGAGAGGGCCGCGCGGAGCAGCAGACATAATCACTGAAAGCATGCGGTGAAGGTGTGCGCTGGTGAGGAAAGAATGGGGCGCGGAAGGACTGGTACTATGCGCCCCCTTCGAGGCGCAGGTCCGAACAAAGCATATTCGGCAGCGAGCGAGGGGACAAAGGAGAAGAAGAAGACCTCCTCAGAATGCGGCGGGACTTCTCAGAAGACCTCGCGCCTTCTGAGAAGTGTTTTGTGCCTTCGGGGGAAGCTTAGAAAATGTCTCAGAAGGCCAGGGGGGCTTCGAAGCCTTCTGGGAAGGCCCGCCACTTCTCACTTAGCCTACCTGCTCGCCGCCGAAATATCGCACGGACAGATTCATGTGTGTCGTTGACCCTGGCGGTACGGCCAGAGTGCCGGCCTGCGAGCATCCACCATCAGACTTCTGCGAGCGCGCGTCGCCCTGGGGGGGGGGCGTACACCGAGGGTTCGTACAGTCATCGTACTACCATGCGGAGAGCATGGCGGGCCTAGGCCATAAACAAGTTCCACGACATACATCTACTGAACGGCCCGAAAAACCGAGCCCTTCCTTAGCCGAACGCGGTCCTCATGTCAACGTCTTAACTGTAATGTTGGGTGATGCCGAGAAGAGAAGTGGTTTAACATCCTGGGCGAGATCAACTCCCTTGCTGCCCGGAATCGGCCATTGTGCCCGACTCTGGAAGACCTCGGCGCCTTTTGGAAGGTCACCACCAATGCTTCTACGTTTGAGCCTCATTCATGTCTTCGTCAGAGGTGCCGCTCCGACGCTTCTGGGAAGTCGAAGACCTATCCTGTGGCGGCCTTCTGACGCGACTGTGACTGGAAGGCTCGCACATGATTCCGTCATGGCCTCCCGCGGCAGCTGGGCCAACTGCGGAAGCAGAAGACCAGATGCAAGCCGATATCGGCACAAGGTCAGAGGGCATACTAGCACACCCAGAGGCAACAGTCAGTATAAAGGACTGCAAGTAGCATGTGCATGCACACATGAATATACATGCGCAAATGCAGGAACAGTGCACGATACGCCAGCGGAGCATGAATTAGCATGATCTGTTTTCATAAAGGCGTGGGTAGGCAATACTTGGATGTATAATCAAAATGGGACGCAAAGACACATGCAAAAAACAGCAAAACAATACTTATGGTAACAACGCACCCAAAACTAACGTACACAGAGAAAACAAACAAACTGAAACAAGACCTGACACGTAACAAACAATATGGTGAAACGAAGAATCGACCGTTGACGTCAAATCAATTGCCGGCTAAAATTACGGAACGTGAACACGTAAAGACAGGCAAACAAGGAGCCACACGCATCATGCAAAGGCCAAGGTATCCACACACAAAACCACACCCACGCACTTCAGCAACAGCACATACAACATGCCCGTGTGCATGTGCGCGACCGAGACACCTGGCCGCTCCGTTTTTCTTCGATGCGGGGGCCTGGCAGCATGGACCACTTCCCTTGGGCCGGCTTTTCGTCCTGACTAATTTTTTTGTTTCACGGTCCCGAGGCCCTGCAAGGGCTCCTGGAGGCCGAAAATAAACAAGCACCCGCCGCTACTGGGGAAAACAAACTGTGCCAATACGGCTATTCCCTGGACCTCTACAGGGGTGCGCTCTGATCAGAATTTCGAAGCGAATCCAGCGGTGGCGACGAGGGCCTTCCAGGAGGCCCAGAAAAGGGAAAACGGACTCAGGATAGAGGTATGGGTACCTTTTCTACTTAGGCATGAAAGGACCCCATAACCCGTTGGCAGGCGACCGAATTTAGGAGCGTCAGGAACATTAGGGATAGGTTTTACATTCTGCAGAGGTATCGAACCAAACCGCACATAATTATTAGCCTAATGCGAAGAAGGGACCTCGGTTACCGAGTTAGGCCACGTCTTCATCGCATTATTAACGTTAGGCGATCTCTTGTCCTCGGAGATGTTCCTCCTCTGAGCTACAGCTTTTGTCGGAGCGTCGGATCACTTGGCAGGCACGCATCCCCGTCGCAGGCGCTCCCGCGCGCTGCTAGCATTGAGGGATGAAAAAATCGCCCCTGCCCGGGCTTACAAGTCCGTGGTCTGTGAACCTCCGGGGAGCTCCTCAAAGGCCAGAGAGCCGCCAGGACACCGCGCGACAGGCGCGCCACGGAGGGCTTACTCTGACAGCCCACAGGAAGTTCGGCGCGCGGCGCCTCGCCAACCGGGGCAGGGGCGTCGTCTCCCGCCCGTGACGGGGAGGCACCGCGCGACTCTCCTGGAGGGGCCTCGGGAAGGCGGCCGCGGGCCTCGGCCGCCGGCACGCTCGCAAAGCGCCCTCGGAAGCGCTGCGGGCCACCCTGGCGTGGCAAATCCGCCCAAGCCCGGGCCAATGCGACCCTTGCTCTATACAGGGTCCTGCAAGCTCCGGCGCTCTGACTGACCCCCGTTGCCCTTGACCCCGCCGAGAGAGCGTCCGAGAGAGCGCTCTTTTGGGGAACCCATAAGAGACGTACGCGTCCATTTATGTACATAAACGCGGCCCCTTGACCCGCGAGACTGGCCGCGTGATACGAACATTCGCGCAATGCGAACTCTCGAAACCAGCGTGGATTCATGTACGTGTACGTCCTTTCTTTCGCTCCTGACCTTTGGGGCCTCCGGAGCCATCCTTGGAAGCGCTGCGGGCCAACCACGACTTGCCAATTCCACTGAAACGCTCGTCAGTGCACTTTTTCTCGTCGGCGGCGAGGCAGAGGCAGTCCGCTCCAGCGTCAGGCGAATTGTCTGGCGTGCAGGAGGAAGGAGCCAACGCTCGCCAATACACATGCTCTACAACTCGCGAGAAAGCTGGTCGCCGGCCCCGCCCACCCCGATTCCCACCGCTGGTCAGCGGTTCGGGGACCTACTGGCCCGGGTCAGTCCAGACCCGGTTCAGTCAGGCCCTGCAGGAGGTGATGCAAGACCCTGCAGACTCCTGCGCCCAGGCCCGGGTCAATGCGACTCTGGCTCTGCAGGATCCTGCAAGCCCTGGCGCTCCGACTGACCGCTTCCACTGACCCCATCGGCGGCGAGCGAAGGGGGGAAAAGAGAAGGAGAAGGCCTTCTCGGAAGGCTCGGCAATCCCCTCGCCTCCTGACAAGCTGTCCGAGCCTTCCCCGAAGACGCAGAAAACCCTCAGAGGACGCGAGGGCTTCTGAGAAGTCCGGCCGCCTTCTGATCAGGCCTTCTCCTTCTCATTCTCCCCCCCACCCCCGTCCTCCGAGCCCAGACCAGTCACGGCACGACTCGCGCTGGCGCCGTCCTGAGAATGCCCATGGAAGCCCGTCGCCCTTGCCCAGACGGCGCCGGCGCGAGTCGTGACGCGACTGGTCGGGGCTCGAGAGACGGGGCTCGGCGGCGAGCGGGGGGGGGAGATGTGAGGGCAAAGGCCTTCTCAGAGGGCGGCTTGACCTCTCAGAGGCCCACGCGCCTTCTGAGAAGTTTCTCCTGTTTTCGGGAAAGGCTCAGAAAACGTCTCAAAGGCTTGGGGACTTCCGAACCTTCAGAGAAGGCGTTCTCCCCCTCACTGCCCCCCCTCGCTCGCCGCCGACGATCGCAATTGAGGAGATGAAAGGCTGTGATTTATGTTTCGCATCGTCGTAGCGCTCTATTGACTTCTCGGTTCCATGGGCGTGCAGCCAACAAGGGGGCCCAAGAAGAGAAACAGGATCGGACACTTGGAGCCCTGCACCTGAAGGCACACCTTTTCGTCGTCGGCGAAGCGGAGGCGACCCGCACCAGCGTGGGGCTAATCGGGTGCACCGATAGGTAAATTGTCCGGCGTGCAAGAAAGCGAATTTGGACGCCCGAGTTGGGTACGGAAAAAATGGGCACAATTGACAACAACAACAACAACAACAACAACAACAACTGTTGTCCCAAACCAACAGCGGCCGCTTTTTGGCAGGCAACCTTCTGTCTCAAATGGACACAGGCGGCGGCGGCGCGGACAGCGAGTCCTGTTTAACATGAACAGGAACTCCTGTTGGGCACCGTACCCATTCTTTCCGTACCCATTTCGTTCGTGCCGAGCGAGGAGGGAGGGCGGCCGCGCGGCGCGAGAAGGAGGTAGGCGCTCAGACGTGGAAGAAGAAGTCCGCGGTGAGCGGGCCAGAGCGGCCAGACCTGAGGGCACGCAAGAGGCCCAAGAGGTCCCAGGAGGCACCAAGAGGGCTCCAAGGGACCCCCGAGGCTCCCCAGAGAGGGCTCCGAGAGCCCGGTTCAGACCTCCCAGGCACGCCCCCTGAAATTCCCTCGCCTCGCGCACGTGCTCCTCCTACTTCGTGGCTCTCCGACTTCCACCGCAGCTATCAGGCACGAGGGGGATTAGGCCGGCGCTCAAGGGCTGCGGCTCGTACACTCGGGTGGGCTTCCTCGATCATGTACCCTTGCCTGTGAGAAAAAACATCTGGACTTCATCGGCTCGCAGGCACGGTGCCGGGATGGGCCTAAGGCCACTAGATAGCAAAATTCGTACTTGGTCCAATTGAGAATCAAGATCGGTCTCGCCGCTCCTTACCGCCGACCACAAGTGTCTTGGCCAGAGATAACCAGCACGGGGGACTTGAAAGGGAGACTACACATTAGCATCCGGGGCATCCGGTCAGTTATTGATCTTGTTAGAAGAAACGACCCTCACCTCCGAACACTCCCAACGTGCATCGCCCCCCAACCCGGATTCTTCCGAGCGTCCTTGACGGCTACAGGTCACACCAAGAAGCACAACGACAACCTTCACGCCGTGAAGAACGTGTCAACACGTTTCCAACACGACCCGAGCCGTATCGGAGGCGACCAAATATAACCCCAAGACTCTCTCTGGGCACAGGGGAGACCCAAAGCCTCGGAATTATACCTCCAAGGAACACTCAACCACGCAACCCAGAAGACAAATCTTCGAGAACTTGCCGTTTTCCAATGCTGTTTCACATCACATCCATCATTTACTAGAGGCCTCTAAGATGGGGTCCTCACACATGAGGTCAGAGGATCGTGCCGCAGCGCCGACGCACCGACGATGCATCGCAGACGTCGGCGGTGCATCGTAACCATCGGCGTGGAGAACATGGGTCTCAACATCGAGCCGCATCACCGATGCATCGGCGATGCGTCGCTATACTCCGACCCCATCTACTCGGACTCGACATGTGGGGAAAAGACAGGGTGCAGATACCGCTACTCCCCAGACCTCTCCTGGGGTGCGTGGCAGCCATGACTTCGAAGCGAACCTAGCTGTGGCGACGAGGGAAGGGCAGCGGCATCGGAGACTTCTCCTGCTCTGACATTGGGGGGCCGGCGATGCGGGGCCCTCTGCGCCGACCCCACTCGGGAGGCCCCGGCTGCACCTCGCCGAGAACACACCGAACCGACGACGAAACCGACACCGGCAGGCATCGACAGGCCGCAAGCAGCCTGGAGCAGCGCGGCGACGCGGCAACGACAACATGAGCGACCGAACCGGACCGAACGAACGTAACCGACTGCGGCGCAGCAGAAAGCACCAAGCCGCGAAGAGACCCTTGAAAAAGGGCCCTCTCCCACCTCCTCCTCATCCTCCTCCTCCTCCTTTCCCGCACGCAGCATACCTCTCTCCTCCGTCCTCCCCCTCCTCCTCCTCGTCCTCCCTCATCCTGCTCCACCTCCTCCTCCTCCTCCTCCTCCTCCTCTTCCCACTGCTGGGGCACGCCCGTCAGCACCGAGGGAGTAGCCTCTACAATTAGCCGCCCCGCGCGCGCGAGGAAGAAGAGTGCTGTCCTGATCCATGCGGGTGGGCTTGAGCTCAACCCTCGGGCCCATGTGGTCGCAGAAGCCCTTACCCACCACCGAGATGGTATTGGCCATGCCGGCCTCCTGCAGGGACACCCGGCCAGAGGTCTGCTGAAGAAGATGCGTTGTGGGAAAAACGTGCGACGGGGAAAGGGAAGCGCCCAACCTGCCCAGATCCACCCACCAGCACCCTGTGCCAAATGTCTGGCAACACCCGAGCGAAGAGAACCCACAGTCAGCTGCAACCAGCTCCGTGGCACTGCCATGCCCTGCAAAGAGGTTCCATCCATACGCTTTGCCTGCCACAAGTGCCGCCGAGCCGACAACTAGCCCCTCCAGAGTGTCCTGTGCATCGTCGGCACATCCAGGTTACCCGTGGATGAGAACACCTGGCAGGAAAAGCCACGAATCGAATCTAGAAATCGAATCGGCGAACAAACCGAATCGGATCGGCGGACATCCCCAGCCAGGTCGGAAGACGCCGAGTCGGCGGACATCGGCAGGCGACCAGGGCCACTGAGAAATCGGAAGCCAGATCGGAATCCAAAGCCGAACCGAACTGAGAGTCGCAGTGAGCCCTGCACCTGGTGCGCGCGAGACAACTAGTAGGTCGGGCATGTCCTCCTGCAGGCGGATTCCGGAAGAGAAATTAAAACGTAGTCAGCAATAACCAAAATGCACACATAAAAAACACAGCACATCATCATCACACCATGTTCCTACTATTCTGGGATACTCCTCCTGTAGGAAAGCCACATGCGCGACTCAAAGATAACCAGGACCGCCTACGCGCGAGGCCTCCCACACGGCCCCCCTCGGCCGTCCACGACGCCGCCCCACTGAGTGCGCGCGGGCCCCCCCCCCGACCCCCCTCGGGACGCCCCCGGGAAGCAGTCGGAGGCCTCCGCGGGTCTCCGGGTTCGGGGAGACATCAGGCTCGGGTTCGGGAGGCTCGTGTTGGCCTGACGGGGCCATCATGGACACGCCGAGAGCCAGTCTGACATCCGACGCGGGCTCCCGCTGCAGACCTCCCGCAGACACTGGACCGTCAGAGGGTGGCAAAGCATGTCAAAGCATGTCAAAGCATGTCAAAGCATGGCAAGCTGGGCGCGCTCGTCAAAGCATGTCGGCAAACCCGACGGGCCGGGCAGAGACGAGGCACGCCGAGGACGGAGGAGCGGACGGGCGCGGGACGCCGCGGACGTCGACCGACGATGACGCCGAGCACGACGACGGCGGCGACGAGGGCGACGAGGCGGCGACAGCGGGCGGCGTCGGCGACGGCGAGGACGACGGCGGCGGCCGCGGCTGCGGCGGCCGCACTGCGGACGGCGCCTGGAGCGCCCGCTTGACCGCGCACGCGCGGTTGCGGGCGAGTTCCAGCGCCAGGTCTGGCTCCAGGGCCCCTCGGGAGGCGGGGGCGCGCGCGCTGTACGCTCCGCCCGATGAGGGCTCCACTCGACCTCGTCGGACTCGCGCGTCGGCCGTTCGGTCCGACGTGTGTCCATATGCCATAAGGCGAAGGTGATACCCGCGCCGGTTGAGACTGCAGCAATGAGACTGAAAGACGAACCATCAGGTGCGACAACGAGACGGCAACGACAGTGACAGCAGCAATGAGTCGCACATCTGCCAGACGTGCTAACATATCACTCCGAGGGTAGGGGCCCGCAGGACAGTTCGTTTAGCTTGCCTCGCGATATCCTCACGTTTCCTCTTCCTACTGCCTCCTTTTACTCCTGCCTCGTGCTTTCTCCCTGCCTCCTCATCCTGCCTCCTCCTCCTCCTGCCCCGTCCTCCTCCTCCTCCTGTTCCTCCTCACCTCATGCCTCCTCCTGCTTCCTCCTCCTGCATGATCCTGCGGCCCCCTCATCGTCCTCCTCTTCCTCCTATCCATGCCTCCCCCTCCTCGTCCTCCTCCTCCACAACCTCCTCGTGCTTGTCATCCTCCTCATGCCTCCTCCTCCTCGCCCATTTATCCTCATCCTCCTCCTCTTCCGCTTCCTCCTCCTCCTCCTCCTCCTCCCCCTCCTCGCTCTTCTCTTCACTCTCGTCCTCATCCACATGTGCCTCCAGCCTCCATCCGTTTTCTTAATAATGGCCAGCGTGGCCCCAAACAGTAGTTCTAGCACTCGATGTTGTGCAATTCACGTGGTGCAATTCATGTGGTTCAATCAATGCGGTTCAATGTATGGTGCAGTCTAAGTGATATACCGTAGGCGGTTCGATATCTACTGTGGCATCTAGGTGGTGCAATCTCAACGGCGCAAACTATATGGTACAATCTATACTATGCAATATGTATCGTGCAATCGGTGCGGTAGTTCAATACGTGTAGTGCCATCTATGTGGTGCTATCTATGCTGTGTAATCTAATGCCATGTATTGGGATGTGCAATGAATGTTGTACAACCTACGCGGTGCATTCTGTGTTGTGCAAGATTGGCGATGCAATCTGTGTTGCGGGCGATCCAGAAACGCGCCGCAGGGGCAGTCTGTCTTTCGCTCAATCTGTGAGGTGCAATCCAACGGCGGTGACGAGGCGGCGACGAGGCGGCGACGGACGACACGGAGCCGCCAGACCGCCCTCACGGTCCAGGCGAAGGGCAGCGACGAGGCGGCGACGAGGCGGCGACGGGGCGGCGACGGGCACGAAGCCACCTGACGGTATACATATCTGTGTTTACACACCGAGAGAGAACGTGGACGAGAGCAAACGAACGAGAGCGAGGGAAAGAGAGAGAGAGAGAATAAAGAGGGAGGGCGAAATAGAGAAAGACAAACAACACAACAAAATGAATAACACACATAGAGACAAAAGGCGAGAGAAAGAAAGAGAGAGATAACAAAAGAGTCCTACCGCGCCCCGCCCGTAGGCGGGGGTGTTCGTGCACGCATCCAATTGCCTGAAAGTAAAGCTTATTGCCAGAGTCTTAGGGAAAACTGCCTCCGAACCCCATTGGCCCATGAGGGGGAGGAAGAGGCAAAGCAGGAATAGAGTAGCGCAGTAGGCTCCTGGCGCCATTTATGTGGTGCAATTCATGTGGTGCACTCTGTGTTCTGAGCGATCAACAAGCGCGCCGCAAACGCGATTTCTTCTTCGTGCAACCGACGTGGTGCAATCCAACGGCGTCGACGAGGCGGCGACGGGGCGGCGACGGGGCGGCGACGGCGACAACATAGCCGCCAGACCGAAGACGCGGCTTAGACGACGGGCGGCGACGCCGCGGCCACGGCGAGAACAGAGCCGCCAGACCGAAGACAAGGCCCAGTTCCCGAGAGTGGCAAACAAAAAAAAACGAAGTGCCAGCACTTTGCGGAGCATCGGTATCTCCACCCTGTCGCACCCAGAGGCGTGTCGGCAGGGCGGGTCGTGGAGGGCGGGCCGTTCTTTTTCAAATGCGGCTCTCGCCTTAGCGGCCCGCACGTTCGTCTCAAAAGCGTACAGCAGGTTCAAAGATTCGTGTGGTTGACGTCCCAGAAATTACGCACCAGCACGATGCAGGACTGTCCGGGCGCAAGGGTCACGCTGACCCGCCGGCAACCCCAGGGCGACCTGGCACGATTCAGGAATGGCGCACCAGTATTGGTGACTCGCGGCGGTGAAGTTCCAGGAACGGTGTTTTGGTGGGGCTCCAGTTGTTCAAAGGATCGTCTTCCAAAAGGATAATTCTCCCATTGAAAATAAATCCTTGCAGGCCTCTGTGAAGAGGGACCTTTGAGGGATGGTGGCTCGCATCATCGTTGATGAGTCTTGGGCTTGTACTGGTCTTCCTCCTTTGGGGCATCCAGCCCCCTCCTGGGGCTCCCCGTGGTCTCCTGGATCATCATGGGGCCTCCAGGAGCATCCTGAGGCCTCCAGGGGCCTCCTGGGGCCTCCCTTCCAGGCTTCCGCTCGAGATTTCCTGGCAAGACGAGGCCCCCGCTCGAGATATCCTGACAATTTGCTCAGGCAAAGGGCTCCCGCTCGAGATCTCCTGAATTTTCAAGCTCTCAGGTGTCACCAACCCTGTGTTATGGTAGGGTGCGCCGATGACAACCTCAGCTAAAGAACATGTTGCGGGGGCCCTATAGGAAGGTGGGTCCCGCTCGAGGCTGCCTCGCAAATCAGTCACGAGCACGCGCACTGAACATCTGCACAAAAAACCCAAGAATGAGGCTCGCTTGAGATTCCCTCAAAGTCCAAGCTCCCAAAACCGGCTTCTGATCTACAACTGTTCAAACGGCCGCCACGAATTCGCAATATGACATGGGCTCCCGCTCGATACTGCCTCGCAAGTGGCTGAGACACAAGGATCCCGCTCGAGACTTCATCTAGATGTGCGCGCGCGAGTGTGCGCCCGTGCGTGTCTGTCTGCGTGTGAGCGTGCGAACGGCAGCTCCATTTCGCTTCCTCGCCAGCGCAGTGACTCTGCCTAGCCGTCGACATAAAGAGTGTGCGCGTGCATGCCTGTCGCTGCGCGCAGGAAAAAGACGCCCAAAAGCGTGCGTGCGTGTATATATATATATATATATATATATGTGTGTGTGTGTACGTGTCTGTGTGCCTGTGCGTCTGTGCGTGAGTACGTGTAGTTGTGCGTGTCCGAATGTATGTGTGCATGCGCGTGTGAGTACGTGTATGTGTGTGTATGTGTGTAAATATGTTTGTGTGTGTGTGTGCGTGCGGACTTGTGTGCGTGCGTACGCGCGCATGTATGTATGTGTGCGTGTGCGTGTTCGTGTGTGTGAGTGACCGTGTCTGTGTGCGCGTGCGTCTTAGCGTTCGCGTGAGCGTCGTCTCAGCGTGTGTGAGCGCGCGTGTCTGTGTGTATGTGGGTGTGCGAATGTACGTGTGCGTGCGTGCGGGTGCGTGCGCGCGCGTGTGTGCTTGTGTGCGCGTGTGTCTGTGTGTAGATGTTTGCGTGCGTGCGTGCGTGCGTGCGTGGGTGCGTGCGTGCGTGCGTGTGTGTGTGTGTGTGTGTGTCTGTCTATGTGTGTGTGTCTGTGTGTGTCTGTGCGTGTCTGTGTGGGTCTCTGTGTGTGTACGCGTGCGCGTCAGCGTGAGCGTGAGCGTGTGCGTTTGCGTCTACCTCTGCGTGCGCGTGAGAGTGCGCGTGCGCTAATGCGAGCGCCTGCGTGTGCGTGCGCGTGTGCGCGAGAGTGTGCGTGTGCGTGTGCGTGTCCGTGCGTGGGCATGCGCGTGCGCGTGTGGGTGCGGGTGTGGGTCCCGGCGTGGGTGTGGCTGTGCCGGCGCGTGTGCGAGCGCACGTGGGCGCGCTAGCGCGCAAGCGCGCCAGGCGCGCAAAGATGTGAGCGCACCCCGCACCCGCCGCACCGGCGGCGAGCCTGTGAAGCAGCACACCTCGAGGCCCAGGGCGGGGTACCGCTTCATCGCGCCGGCCACCTGCCACGACCGCGGCGGCGGGCGGCAACCCCTGCGGCCTGCCGTGGGGCCCTCGACCCTCGGTCCTGCACGACGACGACGGAGACGACGGCCTCGAGCCTCGAGCCTCGAGGCTCGAGCCTCGATCCTCGATACTCGACCCTCGATCCTCGAGCCTTGAGGCTCGAGGCTCGATCCTCGACCCTCGAGCCTCGGCCTCGAGTAGGGGCCCGACCACAAGGAACCTTGCACAAGAAACCCAAACCACGAGACCCCAGGACGTCCACGGATGGTTTGGCGTGGGGAGCGTCGCGCTCTCCGCAGCAAAACCGCCGAGACACGAGAAACCACGGGCACCCTGGATGCAAGCAGGGTGCTTCCTGGCATGGGCTTCCACTGCATGTCGTCGCGGACCTGGCGAGCGCGCGGGTCGGTCGAGCGGCCCCGGGAGAACTGGCCAGCGACTGTGGTGCTCTGCAGGAGGCACGGGCAGGGAGGAGAGAGAGAGAGAGAGGCAGGGCAGCCGCGGAGGAGAGGAGCGGGCGGGGGGGGGCAGACTCCGACCACGCAGGGGGGGGCCCTCCGTCCCCGATCCTCCTCGACGACGACGGGACGCGACCCGATCTTGTCCTCCTAGCATTTCCGGTAACCATCGTTACCTGGTGGGGGGAGGTGTTGGGGCCCCGGTTGCTCATCGGTCTGAGAAAGTGGGTAGAACCATGAAGTAGGAAGGCGTTGGAAGCAAATTGGGTGTCCGCCCGCCCCCTGAAGAGGACGGAAAGGGTGAAGCCTCTCGAGCACTGCAGTAGGAAGGCGCTTGTAAAGTAGACTGGAATCTGGGGCTCCACAAGTACCTGCTTTCAACGGCCGATGAATAACGGTAACGCTTGGGCGGGGTGGGGCACCTGAGGCGGGCGGCCACCAGCATGTGGGGGGCACCAGCATGTGGGGGGGGTCCAGGCCCCAACTTATCGGCGATCGTTACCGTCACCCGTATGTGCGGGGGATGGCCTGGGCAACGACCGCTGCGCTCTGGAGGATAACAAAAGTCCTCGAGCCTCGAGAATCGAGAATCGAGCCTCGAGTATCGACCCTGGAACCTCGATCCTGGCGAGGCGCGTTTGCCAGGGCTGGCTGCGTCATCTCCGCGGACCCGGTGGCGTAAACCGCGGAGCGCGGCTACTCGCTACTCTGGGCAGGTTCGGGACATGCTGGTAAGATGCTGCTGCTTCGAGCGATCCCCACCTGAGACAGCGAGGCAGAACTCCCAGGGAGCACCCGCACGTCTTGTGCCTGGCGGCCGTGGCATGCAGTCGCAACCCGTCGAAGGTCCCAGATACCCACGGAGCAAGGGCACAATCTGGGCCTGGCGGCCGCGGTACGAAGGGTGTGCGAGGCGGAACGGGAGCTCTGTTTCAAACCAACAACCCAGTCCTGTCGAGCATGTACAGACACGATGCTGGAGGCGGTCGACTTGTGTAGAAGGCTGGGCTTTGGCGCACTTCGGCCCGCCGCAGAACACGGGTCCGACGACTCTCGAACAAGAAAGCCCCAACACACATGCATACGCTAACCAGTTTGGACACACACACACAACAAAATGTTTGTAGCAATCTACGTTGTGCAAGTTATGTGGTGCCATCTATGTTGGGCACCCTATGTGGCGCATGGGTGTGGTGCATCTATGTGGTGCAGTATACGTTGTGCAGCCAACGTGGTGCAATACACATATATATATATGTACATACACGTATGCAGTTCAATCGAAAGCGCGCAAGCTATGCAATGCAGTCTAATTAATGCAATACCTGTTTTGCAGCCCATGTTGTGAAACCAACATGGTGCAATCCATCTGGTGCATTCGATTTTCTGCTTTACGCGACACAGCATACGTTGCACAATCCGCGTGGTGCAACCTAGGCGGTCCAGTCTAGAATATGCAAGCTACGTGGTGCAGCCAAAGTGGTGCAATATATGTGGTGCAAGCCATGTTGTGCACTCTACGTGGTGCGGTGTACTTGGTGCGGTACAAGCTTTGCGAGATCAGGCTTGCACTCGATGTGGTGCTATCTATGCTGTGAGTCCTATGCGGTGCAAATTAATTTCTGTTCGCAATGAGTTGACCATTCCACTGCTCGCGCAAACATCCCACCAACCCACCCGCAACTTGGTTTGCAAAATCTCTCAAGACCGTGACGGTGGGTACTTCATGGCACTTGGCAACAACAGCGACGCCGACGACGACAGCGACAACGACGATGACGACGCCACCGACAACGACTACGACGACACCGACGACGTCTCCAACGACTTCGACGACGCCGACAACGACGACGACGACGACGACACCGACGACGACGACGACGACGACACCGACCGACGCGACGACGACGACGATGACGACGACGACGACGATGACGACGCCGACGACGACGATAACGACGACGACGACGACGACGACGACGACGACGACCACGACGGCGGCGACGACGACGACGCCGACGTCGACGACGACGAAGACGACAACGACACCGACGCCGACGACGACGACAAAGACGACGACGACGTCGCCAACGAAGACAACGAGGAAGGAGGGAGGACGACGACGGCGACAACGACGACAACGACGAGGGAGGAGGGAGGACGGCGACGACGCGAACGACGAAGAAGGAGGAAGGACGGCGACGCCGACGACGGCAACGACGAGGGAGGAGGGAAGACGACGACGACGACGACGACGACGACGACGACGACGACGACGACGGCGACGAAATAGGAGGGACGACGACGAGACGCCGACGACGGACGACGACGACGACGAGGGAGGAGGAGGAAGGACGACCACGGCGACAACGACGACGGAAACGACCACGACGCCAAAGAGGACGACGACGACGAACACGAGGAAAGACAGAGGACGACGTAGGCGACGACGACGACGACAACGACGCGGGAGGAGGGAGGACGGCGACGACGACGACGCAAGAGCGCGCGCGCACGCTTTTGTTGCGAAACCTTGTGTTGTTGAAGGTTTTTTTGGACACACGATTTTGAAATCCTTCCGAAACCGATGGGTTTTGAAGGTTTTCGGCATACACGCGCGACGACGCGCGCGTCTGCACTTCGTCTCATTTTTTGCACGGCACACGCGCAAGGGCGTTCGACAGATTTCGACACGAGCGCGCGCGAAGCCCGTTTGGTAGCATTAAGGAGAAAATCTTGCAAAACCGATGGTGTTCTTAAGATTTCGCAAGAGCTTTCGCGGAAGCTTTTTTAGCAACTCTGTGTTGCGAAACCCTGTGTTTGTGTATGTTGTTTGGAAACTCGATTGCGAAATCCTTCCCGGACCGAAGGTTTTTGAAGGATTTCGGCATGCGCGCGCGACGACGCGCGCGTGGGCACTTCGTCTCATTTTTTGCAAGGGATTCGTGAAAGAGTGTTATGGTAGAACAACAAATGTCACGCATAGTGTTTTTTACTAGGGAACCTCAGGGTGGGGGAACCTGGTTTGGCTGGGATGGTATGATTTCATATTTAGAATGGACGAGTGTGCAGAATATATATATATATAGACATATATATATATATATATATGAAACCATACTATCCCAGGGGGAGCCGATAAGTCCGGGGGGGGTAGAATCTATTAATCGTTCAGAAATCCAACACCGTGCCGTTGCTCAAGAGGAGTTATTCAAAAAGGTTCAGAGCCTCTCGGCCGCGGGTCCGGGAGAAGCATCCCTCGCAACTGCCGCGGCGGGTCAAAGGTCGGCCCCGCGCGGCGCCCGCTCGCTCTTCGCTCCTCGCGTCTCGCTCCTCCTCGCTCCTCCTCGCTCCTCCTCGCTCCTCGCTCCTCCTCCTCCTCATCCCTCTCCTCTGTTCTCCTCCTCCTCCTCCTACTCCTCTTCCTTCCTCGGTCCTCCTCGCGCGGCGCCTGCTCCAGGGTCTCCATCGCGGCGGGCCTGTCGGGCGCGCCGGCAAAATGCGGACGGGCAGAAATCGGAACGAGGCCCAGCAGCCAACCGCAACAAACTCCGTGCGGCACGTGCACGGGACCTAATGCGTGCGATAGCTTCTCTAATCCTCCTCCCCCCCTCCGCCTCCTCTACAACTCAATCGAGGGTAGGCGCGAAATCCTCGTCGACCGTGGTGTATAATCTAGGAATGAAAACCTATAGGTTCAGTATCTGGGGATACTACCCTATGGAATATTGTCCTGTGAATGGATCGGGCTCAGCCCCCCCCCGGCCGAATCATTATTGTTCCAGGATAACCGACCTAAGTTCAATATTCCAACATTATGGACAAAGGTTTATGTCAGGTCAGAACATACACCCGAACGGCGCCCCACAAGCTCAATTATTAGGATTCCAACGAAATTGGCCCGTGGTCAACAATCCAGAAACATGATGAATCCGGGTGTATTATCTCCTGGAATATAAATCGGGGTCGATATTCCAATATGAGAGACCTGTTGAAGAACCTGGGGGTTGGGGGGAAACTAATAATTATCATCATTCCGGAATGACGAAAACCGAATTCATTATTCCCGGGACATTGAAAAGCCCAATCAATATTCCCGGAAGATTCTGAACCCAAGTTAATATGTTTTTTTGGGCCGGTATCCCCAAAACATTATTAACCAGGGTTTATAATGTTCGGGGGGGAACATTATGAACCCCAGTCAACATTCCCAGAACATTGAAACCCAGGTTCACAATGTTCCGGGCGAGACATGAATCCCAGAACATTATAAGCCCAGGTTAATATATATGTGAGGTCCATCCTGACTCAATCAGATGGGCAACCGATCCCTGGAATAAGGGATTCGCACGATCATTGCCGAAGCGCCGTGCGGTAGGCTGGAGCATGGCTTTCTTGCTTGCGTGCTTGGGTGAGCCTTGATGGGGCCCTCTGTGGACCAAACTTATAAGTATGGTTTCGACCACTACTCTTCACCAATTCTTCCAATTTCCGTTCTGATTTCAACCAAATCCTGCGAACTCCAAACGAACCCCACCAAACCGCAAGAAATGTTATGACCGTCTGAGGGACCTGTGAAAGACCACACATAAGCTGGGATGTCCCAACCTGCCAGCAACAGTTGGGGTGAATTCGGGACGTTCCTACATCCCACCTGGGATTAGGACATCGGGACACTGATTGCCATTGAAAGTCGGACGATCCAAACCGCCAGCGGCCGCTGTCGGGCTGGCGATGGCTGCCTCAGATGGGTAACGTCCACGTGTCGAAACCGACAGCGAGTCCTGGGCCCTCTCCTCCGTCGACACAGTTTTGGGGCGAAGTGGCCCCACAAAGGATGTCGTCGTCGTCCTTGCGATCCGCTTTTGAGGCTGTTTCTTCTCTGAATAGATTCTGGAAAGTTCACTTGCATAACGCGATCCCTCCCCTTCATAGAGTTAGGTCGGGCCTGTCCCCCTACAGGGGGACTTTGAGCGAAAAATAACAAATGCTCAGAAAGATTCCAAAATGGTAAAAAAATACTACAAAAATAGTCCCCATACTATTTTTAACTATTGTGCGATATTCCCCCTGTAGAGGGACGCTCCCGACTTACTCCTAGAGGGCCAAAGAACATCATGAACATAATTTCTTGGGAGGTCCGCGCAAATTTCTTGCATCGGCGCTGGACCCCCCACCCTGGCGCGCCGGCGTCAGGGGCGCCGCCTGGGTGGCCCCCGCGCCGATCCAAGAAATCCAAGCGGAGCTCCGAAAGATCACCCGTCGGTCGGAAAAAAAGTGATTAGAAGCATGAATCAGGTAGGCATTGGAAATAGACTAGGCTCACGCCCGCAACCTGAAGAGGAAAGAAGAGGGGAAGCCACTCGATCTTTGAAGTAGGAAGGCGCCTTAAGTACATTGGAATCTGGGAATCCAAGAAAAGCCCACCCCCAACGACCGGCGGGTATTCTGCTTGTTCTCCCTCGATGATTCACTTGCATGGCATTCTCTTCCCCTCCCCCCTCCGCCGCGCGCCTCCCCCCCGTTTACTAAGGGCTTCCTCGATGGGGCCCGAGTAGATGGGGTCGGAGGATCACGCCGTATCGCCAATACATCTGCGATGCATCGGCGATGGATCGCCAAGTCATCTGCGATGCATCGGCGCCCTCGGCGTGGAGAAAATCTGGCTCCACATCGAGCCGCATCGCCGATGCATCGGCGACGCGACGCGATCCTCCGACCCCATCTGCTCGGACCCCATCGGGGAGGACTGGACACCCCCCACTCCCCGCCGCGAGCGCCACCCCGGGTCTCGGGGATCTTCAAACCCGGGTCAATCCAGACCCGGGCCAGTCATGCCCTGCAGGATCCTGCAGGGTCCTGCACCTGGCCTTGCAGGATCCTGCAAGATCCAGCGCCCTTTATGACCCCCGCCTCTCCCTCTGAAGACCCGACGGTCCGTGCAAGTGAGCGCGCCGGGAACGGAGAAACCAAAAACAACCTCTCGGGGATGGACAGACCCCCCTTTAGTAAAACGTGGTTTAGTGAAAACGACCTGAGGCCCAAACCTGGCGGGCGCAAGCCTGGAAAATAACGGCCACGGCGCCCTCTCGAGAACCGAAAACGGACAATTCACTAATCGACGTGTCACTGTTGGGGGTTCTGTCCACCCCCGAACCTCGGCGACGACTGCGGGTTGCACCGGCCGGGCAGCGAGGTCCCGCGTGCGCCCCCTCGACCACCCCCCCCGACGGGGTACCTTCGGCGGGGGGGGGGGCGACGCGGTCCCACTGGGCATCTCGACCTCTTCCCGGCGATCCGCTTTTGCAGCTGTGCTCTCTCTCTCTCTCTCTCTCAAGATTCGGGCAAGCTCACTCGCACGGCATGCTTCCCCCATCCCTTCCTAGAGGGCCGAAGAACAGCATGAACATACTTCCTGGGGCGAGGAGAGAGCCCCCCCTCCCCCCAGGCCCCGCTGGACCACTGCAAGTTGTCCCCACCTTTAACCTCCCAAGGGTTGGAGACAGTAATCCTCACCACTGGTACATGTGGAGGGAGAGCAGGGAGGAGGAGATGGGGAGGGAGGCAGTGAGAAGGAACGAGGGGGAGGAGGACTGCCTGGTTAGAGGAACAGTCCGCGCGGATTTCTTGGATCGGCCGCAGGACCCCCCGCTCCGGGGGGGCCCCAGCGAGGATCCGAGAATTCCGCGCGGAGCGCCAAAAGTTTATGGTTGTGCAGATTGGTCTTCTTCGCTGCATGGCATTCTCCCGCCCCCTTCCTAGAGGGCCGACGAACAGCATTGGTATAATTCATTGGAGGTCCGCTCGGATTGCTTGGATCGGCGCTGGACCTCCCTTGGGGAACCCCGGCGGGGGCCCCTCGAGGGCCCCCCCCGGACCCTACCCCAGGGATCGCCACACCACTTGAGTGAAGAAGAATGGCACCAGAACAAAAAAACAACTAACGGTGGATTTGGGAATTTGCCGCAGGCGCCTCAATGGGCCTTCATCCCGTCCCAGGCGAATTCAAATATACGCGTTAGTCCAGTCTGGTTATTATATGTCCTTCTCTCTCTCTGTCTCCCATTCACTCTCTCTCTCTCTCTTTATTTATATCTAGATTTATATGCTTCACTCGGTCTCTCTATATCTGTATATATACATGTATATGTAGCAATCCCTGTAGATTATGGTGTATATATGTATGTGTATGTACATACGCATGTATACATACGCAACTATACGTACCGACACCCACTGTCCATTTTATGTTTCTCTCTCTCTCTCTCTCTCTGCTCCGCCCCTCTCATTCTTTATTAACCATAGTTGTGTGCTTATCTTTGTCTATCTCTCTCTATTTGTTATGTCTCTCTCTCTCTCCCTCTCTCTATACATATCAGAGGTTGGGAGGTGATATCGCAGTGGAACGGACACCCACCCACTTGGATTTTGGCTTCGGAGTCACGTTTGTGTCGCGCGTGCGGGCGAGGCGAAGCTGCATGGGCGGGCGAGAGGAATGAACTCGCCGTTGCCAGGGCGAAGCCGAACCAAATGTTGCTGTCCCCCCGGTTGGCCAGCAGCGGCCCAATGGTGCACCGATGGTGTCCCGATGGTGTCTCGTGGTGTCCCCAAGTGTCCCGTGACGCGCGGGTGTCCCTTGCCATGTTATATGATATGCAATGTCATGCTGGCGATAGTGAGATCGATCGAGCGATCGATACTAAGATCCATTGAATGAGATCGAAAGTGATATCGATCGTGGGATCGATAGTGACATCGATAGTGAGATTGGTAGCGAGGTCGATTGAATGAGATCGATAGTGAGATCAATACAAATATCGATAGGTAAGATCGATAGTGAGCTGGATATTGATATAGATTGAGTGGGATCGATCGTGAAATCGATACGGAAATCGATCGTGTGCTCGATTGTGGTATCGATGGTAAAATCGACTGGTTAAGATCGATAGGGATATTAATAATGTTATCGGTAGTGAAATCGATAGTGGCAACGATGATGACACCGATAGCGAGACCGATAGTGAGAGTGATCTTGAGATCGATCGTGAGATCGTTCATGTGATCGATGGTGAGAGCGGTGATGATATGAATAGTGTGATCAAAAATGAGCTCGATAGTGATATCGAGTGAGATCGGCAGTGCGGTCCACAGTGAGGTCGATTGAATGGAATGGATGGTGAGCTAGACAATGACATCGAGAGTGAGATCGACCAGGAGCCCGCGAACCCAGGACCCAAACATTCGAACCCTGGGAATCCCGCCGCCCACCGAATCCCGCCGCCGACCGATATCGGCCCAGCACCAGGAGACGGGAACCTTGAAGGGGCCCTGGGACACACAAATAAATACATAAAAACAACAAAATTACCTATAGTTTCTAATATTTTCTCGATGTCTGCCCCCCCCCCACTTCCAACATTTTCCTATATTTTCTGGGGAATCGACGATTAATTTTGTCTGTGCTTTTTCCCTCCTGAAACCCGGAACCCGGAACCGGAAGCCTCGGAACCCGGCCGCCCACCGAAATCGGCTCAGTACTCTTGCCAAATCTTTCAACCACACCAGAGACAAAGACGCCAATCAGTGGATGGTCTGAAAGTCAGTAATATGAATATTGGGATCGATGGTGAGATCGATTGTAAGGTCGATTGTGAGGACGATTGTAAAAGTCGATCGTGAGATCGAGAGTGAAGTCGACTCAATGCGATCAATATTGAGATCGATCGTGGGATCGCTCGTGCGATCTATAGGGAGATCTCTGAGATCGATACGGAGATCGATTGTAAGATCGACAGCGAGATCGACAGAGAAGTTGGTAATGAGATCGATGGTGAAACCGATCGATACTGAGATCGACCAAACACCCGGGAACCTGGGAGCCCGTTAATCGGGCACCCAGCCGCCCAACAAAATCCGCCAGGACCCCTTCAAAGCAAGGACTCATTGGGGAATATCCGAAAGGACCCTTTCAGTGCAAGCACTGATGAAAAAAAAATATATTATAAAGATAGACTTGAGGCGCTCCGCACGGATTTCTTGGATCTGCGCTGGACCCCCCTCCAGGGCGTGCGGAGCGCGCCAGGGGCGGCGCCAGAGGCGCCGCCAGCCGACGCAGGTCAAGGAAACCCGCGCGGACCGTCGAAAATTGATGTTTATGTCGCTTGCTGTTCTTGCCATCGCTCGGACGTCCATTCCCTGAGCATTTTTGTCGGTTTTGCGCGTGGTTTCTGGCCAGATGATCCAGGGTGCTCCTCGATGGCCCCCGCCGAGACAGAATGCACAAGTCCGAGCGATGCCCAGTGTTCTTCGAACTTGCGAAGTGCCCGCTCTTGCCCACCCACCCGGGGCCCGAGCAGACGGTGTCGAAGGCTCGCGGGGCATCGCCGCTGCATCGCCGCTGTGCACCGGCGGCGTCGGGGACGCATCGGCGCAGTCGGCGTGTGCAAACGCGGCCTCTGCCGATGCATCGGCGATGCCGTGCGATCCTCCAGCGCCATCAACGGAACCCCTGTTGTGGGGGCGACGGGAGGTGCAGATACCGCCGACTAGCGGGAGGGCACCCATGCCGCCACCCCTGGACCTCTGCAGGGACACATCCTGGACCACATCCTGCCTAGGATTTCCAGGCGAGTCCAGCCGGGGTGGCGCGGGACAGGTGGCGGCAAACATCGGTGCGCCGCGCTCCTCCTCGGTCGGGGACGCGCAAACATGGGTTAGCGACCCATGGATTTGGCGCGCGGTCGCCAAATCCAGAAATCGGGGGAGGTACCCTTCCCAAAATGCGGCCGGTGCCGCCTCGTTCGGCGGCGAAAATCCGCGATTTCCCATGGAAACGGGACCCGTCGCTAATTCACAACCCCTTGATCCATGTCTGCGATCGCCTGACTCGGGCCACTCAGGACACCTGAAGCACTGCGGCCCCCACCAGGAGCCTCAGCTCGGGCTCGTCGGCCCCGCCGAACTCCACGCCGCCCGCCCACCAGAGGATGCCGTCCAGCTCCTCGCGAGGGGCAACGACAGGGGGGGGGATGGGCTCGGCGTCGGCCCGGGATCGGCGACACATCGCCGACCGACAGGTCGGCGGCAGGCGTCAGGGGGGAGCTGGCTCGGAAGCGGCCTGGGATCGGGGACGCGTCGCCGACCGAGAGGTCGGCGACGGGGCCCGATAGCGAATCCACCTGGGATCGGCGATACACAGCCGACCGCTGGAGCGAATCTGGGCTCCGGATAGCTCGAGTCGGGGATCGACTACAGAATTGACTTGCCCCAGAATTGGTGTTTCGTGTCGGATCCACGGGCAAATGGAAGAACTTTCGCAGATCTACGAATGGTTGGAGCATTGTTGTTGAAGTGTCGACGTGAAAATCAATTTTGGGGTAAATCAATTCTGTAGTCGATCACCCAGTCGAATAGCGGGTCCGCACGCTCCTGGGCGAGGTGGGCCATCGGGCCCCCCTCGGCGATCAGTGGGCGGTGGGAGGCCGAGGCCTGCCTGGCTGAGTCTACCCGTCGGTCGGCAGAAGCGGGTGCAGTCAGGCCTGGGCCAGAAGCACATCCTTCACGAATCGAGGAGACGTCAGGCTCGGGTTCGGGGGACTCGGGTTGGCCTGACAGGGCCATCATGAAAATGGCGCGACCCGATCTGAAATTTGGCGCAAACTCCTGCTGCCAAACATCCTGCGAACATTGAGCCGTCAAAAATCCAAGACGCGCTCGTTAAAAAGCGTCGGAAACCCGAATTAGGGCGCACTCAAGTCCCGAAACTAGGGCTCCCAACTTCGCGCTTCGCGCTCCGCGAAGCGCGAAGCGCGAATAACTTCGCGCTCTCGCGCCGCCCTCCCAAAGGGAGAAAAGGAGGACGAGGAGGAGGGGGAGAAGGAAGGAGGACGGCGAAGTGCGAAGCGCGAATAACTTCGCGCCCTCGAGGGAGCCCTTGAAAAATCCAAGGCGCGTCGGAAACCCGAATTAGGGCGCACTCAAGTCCCGAAAGGACATGAGGCCATCCGCCGGCCTAAGCAAACAGAACATCCACGGGCCCTCCCCAGGACGCACCACAACGTCCAGCAAGCACGGAGAACACTGGGGTACCCTCCCCGAACCGACCTCGAGCTTATACCTCGGCCCGACTGCAGAAACATGGAGCAGGAAGGCGGTGAACGTAGACTGGGCCTCCGCCCGCACCTTGAAGAGGAGGGACGAGAGAAAACCACTCGATCTCTGAAGCGGGAAGGCGCCTGAAGTAGAAGTGGGATCCGAGAACCCAGGAATACCTACTGTCAACGACCGACCGGTATCCGTTCCCCTTTCGCTGCCCCGGATCCTCGCGCGCGCTCTCCACGCCCGCGGCGGGGCCCGGGCTGCTGGCGCGCGTCTCGGCCTCCGTCGCGACGGCACCGCCGCCGCCGCAGTGCTGCCGCTCCCGGCCCCGCCTCCCCCACCATGTGTAGACACGTGGCCCAGATCCGCCGCACGGGATCTACGATCCATCACATCGAAGCAAACATATTTCTCCGACCTTTGCGAGTAGGCCCTGTGCGAGTAGCGGAACGCGCTCGATGACTGTGTCCCCCTCCTCGCGCTACTTTCGCAGGGGAAGAAACAATGCCATGAACATCCTCAAAAGCTCGGAGGTCCGCGCGGATTCCTGCAATCGGCGCTGGGCCCCCCCTGGCGGCGCCTCGAGCGCAGCCCCTGGCGCGCTCCGCGCGCCGAGGACGGGGGATCCAGCACCGATCCGAGAACCCGCGCGGACCTCCGAGCTTTGATACCCGT